GCCGCCAGCGACGTCGCTGCCCTGTCGTCAATGCTGACCTGCTCAACCAGATCCATCACCCCTTCAGTCCGATCGTGCCGCCCCCATTCACCGTCGGACGTCATGCTTCCACGTCGCGCTCCTCCGCATCAGATCCGACCCGCACTGTCGACGTCGATTCATTCGACGTACCTGAGGCAAGATCCCTCTTGCTCTTTGCCTCGTCAACTTAATATTTATATCTATGATGAATTGTTTTGATTATTTACTAGGATATATGTGAAATTATTTGATTACTGGAACTAATAACAATAAAACATGATCAGAGAAAAAGAAAGAATAGAAAAAGAATAACATGTTTAGGAAAGAATATCGTTTGGACAGTGCCTGAGTCGACCCGATCTGACGTGTCAACACGCGTGAGTCGACATGAAAGAAGGAGTGCGACGACCGATCTTTGAGTCGATGCCGTAAGTCAACTCGAAAGGCGGTGAGACCCGGCCCGACCAATCGTAGGATTTTATTAGGAGTAATGTCGACATTTCATGTGTATAATAACTACTAATTGTGATCCCTCTTATACTGTTCATGCATAATGTATTGTTCGTAGTTTCTAATCACGTTTTATAATATTTATTTTATTGTATTAGTTTTAATTACTTGTTGTTTCATGCTGTGATTGATAACCTTAGTAGTTCATGACTTAGTAGCATTGTGCGTCATGAACAGACCTAGTGATATGTGTGGGTGTGTTGACTGAATTTAGGTGGTGAACCAAAGATATTGTGGACTTTGATTGTTGACTTAGAAATACAAGAGATGTTGGGGTGGGAAAGTCTCTGTTCATGTAAATAGATAAGGCTGTTGATATATCTTCCAGGCTCGTACCAGTGGATCAGTGTCGCCACTGGGGTTGGTTTGTTGGGCCAATGTAGATCGGTGTCACTACTTTAGACCGTGAATTTGATATTCACTCGAGTTTAGATTGGGTCCGGACCAGGCTGAAAACAAATTGCGTGTAGTCCTCTGACCGAGTTTGTGTAGCGGTATTGGATGCACGTAGGGGAATTGTAAATAGTCAGTTATCCGATAATATGAGAGTTGATTCTGTGTGAGATGTGAACTAATGACCTGTTATAGGATGATTAGCTACATGACCTCATTTCTTGGCTACGTATGTTTTCTTGAGAGATATAGGCCAGCTGTATTTCTTTTCATACATAGGTCGT